TCCATCCATCCATCCATCCATCCATCCATCCATCCATCCATCCATCCATGTTCTTTACACCCTTGTCCCTTATTGGGTCAGGAGGAGCTGGTGCCTCTCCAGCTAACGTTCCGGGCGAGAGACGGGGTCACCCTGAACAGGTCGCCAGTCGGCTAATCAGATATTTCTTATTTAGTGACATAATCAATAGTCTGCATAGAACTGCTAAATATTTTTGTTATTTATGAAAATCAGGGTTTAATCATATACATTCAAAACAACCCATACATCATTATTGTATAACACATCTGTCATCTCTCCCTGCTCTTCCTGAAGCTCTAATATTAATGTCTGGATTTTCTTTGATCAGTCGTTTCATTTCTTCTTGGTTTCCTCTCTGAGCCTTTTCAAACATTTTATTGGTGTAGAAACTTCCTCCATTTTCCTCAACCATTCTATTGATCTTATCCATCAGTTTACTGACTTGATCAGGATCCTCGACTTCATTGTCAAAAACATGATATTTATCTTTAAATTTCTCCAACACAGAGCACTGACTGATGATCTGTTTTAGAGGTTGGGATGTTTCTAACAGGTTTTCTATTTTAATGTTTTTCTTGTTCAGCTCATCTCCATGAGTAAACAGCACCATGGTGTAATTGGCTGCTTCTTCTCCAAACAGTTTCTGAATTATTTCAATGTTTCTTTTGTCTTCATTAGTGAATTTGTTTGGTTGGAGCACCATCAGGAACACATGAGGACCAGGATCCGCCATGCTGATGCATTTAGCGATTTCTTTCTTAACCTCTTTATTACTTTTACGTGTCTCAAAGAAATCTGGAGTATCAAACACAGTCCAATTTAAACCATTAAAATCATTGGTTTCCTTCTGACACAATAATGTCACAGAGGAAAGAGAAAGACTAGACTCAAAAGCTTTCCTCTGTAAAATGGTGTTTCCTGCTGAACTTTTGCCGACTCCAGTTTTTCCGAGAAGAACAATCCTGAAATCTGGCTTGTCTTCAGCTGCTGGAGAATTAGAAAACAACAATAAACTGAGAACAATTTTTATTCAGATAGATGCCAGTTAAAATGAAAGAATTCTAAAAACAATAATAAAAGGAAAGGAAGAATAATAATTTTTCTTTTAAACTTTGCTAATTATCCTCACGTAAGAAAATGTTTTTCAGTTTTAGTGTACATTTCCTAAAGAAACTAATATTGTAATTAGGTAATGACAAATTTGCTAGGTGATAAATTGTCCACTGTTCTGCACAGTGGGTAGAGCTGTTGCCTTGCAGCAAGATGGTTCTGGGTTCGATTCTATTTTTATTTGTTAGATCTGAACTAAGTTGTTGCAAAATTTTTAATTCCCTCTCATGAGGTCATTATTTTGTTAATTTGAATAGATTATTGCCAATAATTTATTGGTGTACTGATATGTTGATTTAATTGATTCAGTATATATTATTGTAGTAACATTTTACAAACAAGTTTAAAGAACAAACTACACAATAAAAAAATGCTGGGTTATTTTCATAACCCAATTTCTGGGTTGAAGCTGTTGGGTCCTAGGTTGGGTTAGTTTGACCAAATATTGGGGCGAAATTCATAACTCAAAAGTTGGGTCAGAAATTTACCGGACTCCTGTATAGGATTAAGATTACAAGCAATTTCATAAGTTAAAGCGAAGTGTTGTCAAAATAATTAATTTATTATATCTAATAACTTTTTAATTCCACTCCATGTCGAAGGAAATTGGAGTGAACTAATTTTTCTTCTTCACGGGTTTTCAGCAGAGCTTTTAGCTAAACATTACATTTATACACAAAAAGGAGAATGTGTCTATGAACTGAGAGGGGATGATTTGACATGGCTAACATAATAACCACAACCAGTAATAAATAAAAAATGGTCTTTGAACCATTTTTCAAACAATTGATTTTAACAGTTCAACAAACAAGCAAACTTCAACTAACCATGACCTCAACCAGGTTCCAGTTCTTCTCACCAGGAATATTTATATTATATGCAAAGGCATCTGACACACCAGAGGATATGTGTGTATTTTGTGCTATTTAAAAATAACATAAAACTCAGCAGCTTATAATGAAGAAAGCAACCATGTTTAAAAAAGATTCACACATACACTTGTTTCCAGACTAAGACCATATATCCATAAAGAGCTCTTCATCAAAATAGTGCATCAAAGTATGAAAAACAGAGAATTTCACTTGTTCATCAAATTATTAATCAATATTTTCAGCAAAGTATTGTCTCACTTGTATTATATCATAATAAAAACTTTTTCAACTGTAACACCTGCAAAGTGTAACTTTATAGCAGATAATATAGCACAAAGTTTGACTCCAAGCCCATTCATAGCATCATTTAAAAGCAGAAAATATAAAGGTACAAGTTTGTTATTTTTGTACACAAATCACATGTAACTATAATAATAATAGTAATAATTCTTATCATTATTGTTGTTGTTAATATTAATCTTATTTCTTTTATATATTGTTTGCGGCACTTTAAAATCTTTTTGTGTGAATTTTTATATCCATTGCTTACACCTAAAATTCCCTTTTGCGCAACAATATAGACAATTTCTATTCTATTCTATTCTCTTCTATTCTATAGGCTAATATTATTATACAGGTTTGACTGAATAAATTAAGTCTTATAATAATTTCACATGTTGAACATTTTTCCTCTGTGTTCCCTGAAGAATCATCAAACCTGAACATATTGGAGTTAATCTGCTGATGTGACCTCGTTTGCTTTTTCACAGAGAATGTAAATGCCTCTCAGGTAACATGCATCTTATGCATATTAACTGATTGATACCTGATGAATTTACACCTATATGAAGCAAAAAAGGAGAAACTTTATTGTTTATGTCCAAATGATTTTTTTTTCCACATCATGTTAGTTGTGTTTTCTGTTACTTTATGAGACTGAAAGTGGTTCACTTTCATCATATAAGTTTAAACAAGTTTTCAAAAAAAAAAAGAAAGAAAAGCATTGGATTTAATGCTCTGTAGTTAAATAACTAAGCAGCAACCCTCCCGACCCCACTAAGAGACAAGGGTGTACAGAAAATAGATAGATAGATGGATAATTAAATAACACTTACTGTAGTAAGATTTCCATGAACCTCCACCTGTAGACGCCGTCTTGCCACTGTGTTTTACAAACATCACTGGGGGCATGCCAAATCTTAAAATTACAAAAAATAAATAAATAAAAAATAATAATAATAATGAAGAAACTACAGTCAATATTTATGAAACCTATTGATTAAAATCTATTTTCAGAGAAGCTTGTATCTGACTGAAACAGTTAAAATAAACTATGTCTTTCTGCTGAATCAGAGTTTTAGTTTAAAATATTTCAGAAGACATTTAATAAGATAAAAATCCTAGAAATTATAAAAATGTATTTAAGCCGTATAGGCTGACAAAAAGCAGGTTTATCATCTTCTGCTCAAACCTGCTGATGTTTGTTATTAGCATATTAAAACAAGTTGAAAACCTTTTCTTAAAACATCATGACTGGTGTGGAAACACTTTAACATAAGTACAGTAAATGTGTTTGTGCTCTGAGCAATAAAACACTACTTTACGTTTTAGCTAAACCAACTTAAACTCTACTTTTAAATACAGAAAATTATGAAACTTAATTCTGTTTCTCTAGAAGTTTTTGCATTAAAAAAGAGGATCCTGAACATGAATATTTTTCTGACTTGATTGTATCACAACAATCTACAGCAAAAGTTTTGTTTTAATATTAAAGTTATGACAACAAAACTGAAGCAATCAAATAACTGTTTTATTATGTTGAAATTTAGATTAATTACAAAGCATGTTTGGAAATCATTTAATAAGGGTAATATTTATTCACACTGACTTTTTCCTCTAAATTTTAACTCAATTTCCAGTAAGTTATTAATTACATGATCAAATCATAATTTATTCAGTGACCTCTAACTCGATTAATCTCTTATCTAAACCAGTTGATGATGTTGTTTAATATTCTGCTGCCCAGTTTGTAAACTCTGAGTGTTAATTTACAAATCCACCACAATAACAGAGACCCTATGTTATAAATTATCTGAGAAATCTGCCTAGAGTCATTGAAAATAAAGTAACATTCAGAAGATACTAACCCAGACTCTCCCTTATAAAACCGACATCCTCCACCTGAGATTGAATCTATTTTATCCAGCAGATCCTGGACCTGCTTCCTGTTTTCCATCCTCTGGTTGTTGAACACATGATACATCCCACTGCAGCTCTTCAGCAGTTTCTGCACGTTTTCATCTCTTTGTACAAACTGATGAACATTAATGCCTGTTTCTTTCTCCAGTCGGTCTCCGTAGGTGAACAGGATCATGGTGAACTTGGAAACCTCTGGACCCAGAATCTCCTGCAGCTTCTTCAATCCTCTCTTCTCCTGTTCAGTGAATCTTCCCAGCTGGATGGTGAGCAGAAAAACATGAGGACCAGGAGAGCTCAGCTCCACAGCTCTCTGGATCTCAGCTTTCACTTCTTCTGGAGGAAGAACAGAGCTGGAGAGTCCAGGAGTATCGACCACATAGACTCTACGAGAGAAAACTTCTCCTTCTGCCTTCTTGCTGCTCCGAGTCAGAGGAACCAGACTGAGTTCAGAGTTAAACTCCTCTTTTCCCAGGATGGTGTTTCCTGCTGAGCTCTTCCCGACTCTTTCCTGACCCACCAGCACCAATCTGAGGTCTGAAAACAACACAGTAGTTCAGGAGATAGCAGAGCAACACTTATCCTCTGACATTATTACAGGAAACAGACGTTAGGGAACAGATTTAACAGCATTACAGCCATGTTTAATAAAATGTGTTGTCTCAGAATATGATGTCTTTTCAGCCAATCTCCTGTTTGTGAAGTGACATAAGAAATCTTATCACAGATATTAGCTGGGAAACATAAATTAATTAATTAGCTCCAAAGTCATCATACACAACTGGCTGACAGATGGGGAGAAACAGGTGGGGGAGAGGCAGCGTTACATTACATATAACTGGAGAAGACTGGACACTGTCCCCATCTCATTAAAAAAGTTATAACAACTAAATTTTCAATAATTTTGAATTGACATCTTTTGAAATATATTGTCCATCTGTGAACTAGAAACCATTCCACACCTAATAGAGACTGAAAATGTGTAAATACCATAAAATGAGTCACAGACGATTTTTAAACTTTCAATTTATTTACATGTTAGAAAATGGATAAAGTAGCAATGATTCATGTTTTTCTTGCTCACAGAAATTTGAATGAATTTAGCTACATATGACACTAATTCACTGCCAATGCCCAGTGATAACTAGAAACAGCCTTCAGAACCAGGAGGCGGGTCTTTGTGCTGTCAATCACAATCTCGTGTGGCACCTCTTGTTTTCCTCCCGTCCTTCTTCTCTGCTACCGTTGCAGCTTTCCCCGTCAGCAGATCTTATTATGAATGCTCAGACTAGTTAGCATGGCCACCAATGATGGCTTATAAACTGTTTTCCTGTAAGTTGTTTCTCCTCCATTAGTACATTTAGCAGCGAGTACATGAAGTTGATTGACAACGCTAACCCACTTCCTGGCTCTGATTTGTTGTTTTCAGTTAGGAGCGATGCATTTGTTCAGACAGCAATAGTAGCTCAGGTAGAAAGTGAAGATCGATGTTTTCACATGTTATTACAACATGATGTAACAAACTGTCACAACATGGTGACAGTTTTAACGAATATGTAAAAAAATAATTCTTTATATATATATATATATATATATTTATATATATATATATATATATATATATATATATATATATATATACACTGTAGCTTTAATACACGTTTGTTAAACGTTTATCTGAGAAGATTTGACAGAGTAGCAACTGCCCATGAGAAAAGTGTAAATTGAGGAACCTTTAGCTTCATCTACAGGAGAAACAGCTAAACATTTAAACTTTGAGTACTATGTAACCTATTTGATAAAGGGAAGCTTTTAATCAGTTTCTTTGTTTATATTAGGACCAGGATAGATTAATACAATGGTTCTAATACTCTGTCATAATGTGGAGCTCTGACTATGATAAACTCTTGTCATTGTGTTTTTGATGTACGGTTCATGAATTTACAACAGCTTACTTGTCACTTGTTACATGCTAAGATAAAGAAGATGACATAATTACTAGAATGAAATAATGGAGATGTGGTGATCCTGGGTGCTTGGTTTGTTTTGCTGCTGCTTCTCACTCCTTTCACCAGGGGCCGCCTGGTGGGTGATCTCTGGTGGGCGTGACCGGCGACGCTGGGATTCTACACACCTGTTGGAGATTGTCTCATCTCCGCAGAGGCTTAAGAGTGGAGTCAGCCAACACATCGATACCAAAGTGTTAACCAGTAATGGTACTTCAGGCCATCATTATTAGTGTTTGTTGAATTCCTTGTGAACCTTCCAGTCCTGTTGTGTTCATCCATTTTCAGAATACTTCCTTGTGACGTTGTGGTCTTACCACTCAAGGCTCTGAGCTCCTGGCTGTTCCTGGTGCACTCCACCCCTCGTGACGCCGCGGGATTTTACCCTTCGGTGCCCGATCTTCCACTCACATCACCCCGCAGTTTATTTACCTACCTGGAACCCCTCGTTGGCTGCCTCCCTCGAACTGCCACCGGTGAGCTGAAGTTCGTACCTGTCCGCCCTCCAGCGCCACTCGCCGGATTTTCTCCAAGCACCAGCTGGTACCGCAGCAGATCCTCCTATCTGAAACCACCCCTGGAAATCCCAGTACTCACCTCCGCCTCTCCTGCCGCCTGGCCAAGTAAGACCGTTCCCGTTCGTTCAGAATTCAAACGTCCCACAGACCTTGAACTCATCACTCATTCTCTCTTCCTCAGTGAGCCCGATCCAGTTGCCGCTCCCCGTGAACTCTGCTGATCCGTTACCGTTTTGGTGCTTTAATATTAAACATATTTTACTGATTATCGGTTCTCTTCTTTTTGCATGTGGGTCTGAAGGTTACCTTCCGTCATGACAGATAATAAGCTACACAAACGGCTTCATCTTTATCACCATATCAAAGTTTTATTAACCTTGTAACAACACAAGGAGATCAAACAAATCAACAATGTTCCTATCTTATCTTGATTTCAAAGGCCATCAAAATATATTTTACATAATCCAGCAAGCAATTGTTTTTCATCACCAGGTAATCAATCAATAGTTAAAGATATTTTGTCCAACATCAGAGGAAATCAGCATTTTAAAATAATGCATCGCTAAATTAACTATTTGTTACCCTTACTGTCAGCTCAAGCTTCTGTAAACCACAAATCATTTTCAGATCTTCACACTTTCATTCACTATTGATCAGATCAGGCTCATTGACAGTTAAAATTATGACTGGAAATGGGAATCAAAACCTCATTATGACTCTTTTCTCAGCTGCTTAAATATTTCAGTAACTGATTAATTACAAATCTGCTTATTACTAGTACATATTTTATTTATAAAAAATCAGGGTTTAATAAACCGCAGTCAAAGCATCACACACATCACTGTATAACGCAGGCCTTCTCTTTCACTGCTAGAGCAGCTCCTTTCACAACTCCAACTACAGCTTCAGCTACAGCTTCAACAAGAGCCTTCAGAAGAGCACGGATAAATGCGTTGTCTCTCTCTGCCTTCTTTCTTGCCTCCTCAGGTTTGATGGTTGGAGTTTCTCTGAGCAGTCGTTCTTCTTCTTCTTGGACAGCTCTTTGTGCTTCTTGAAACATTTCATGGGTGTAGAAACTTCCTCCATTTCTCTGAAACATTCTGTTGATCTTCTGCACCAGTCCCTTGACTTCAGCAGAATCCTTAGCTTCATTGTCAAAAACATGATATTTATCTTCAAATTTCTCCAGGATGGAGCACTGACTGATAATCTGTTTTAGAGGTTGGGATGTTTGCAACATGTCTTCCATCGTCTTGTTTACCTTTTTCAGCAAATCTCCATGGGTGAACAGGACCATGGTGTATTTGGCTGCTTCTTCTCCAAACATTGTCTGGATTATTTCCACGGTTTTTCTTTCTTCTTCAGTGAATCTGGTCGGTTGGAGCACAATCAGGAAGACATGAGGACCAGGAGCCGCCATGCAGATGCATTTAGTGATCTCTGTCACAACCTCTTTATTACTTTTGTCTGTATCAAACAGACCTGGAGTATCAATAACAGCCAGATTTAGACCAGCAAAAACATCGGTTTCCTTTTCACACACTAATGTTGTAGAGGAAAAAGCGAGTTCAGATTTAAAAGCTTTCCTCCCTAAAATGGTGTTTCCTGCTGCACTTTTGCCGACTCCAGTTTTCCCAACAAGAACGATCCTGAGATCCTTTTCAGGTGCTGGAGAATTAGAAAACAACAATAAACTTAAAGAATTTTTATTCAGATAGAAGTCAACTAAAACAATGCTAATAATTTGTTATGGTTATATTTATTAATCTGGAAGAAAATTAGGTAGATCACACAATTCTAATTTTAAAAATCTAGAAAATATTTATTTATTTTGCTAATTGTTATAAAATCTGTTCACATTTTCAGCTAATATTTTCTAAATAACTGAACAAAGCAAACTATATATACACACCAAGTAAATACTAAGAATATGTTCTACAGTTTAAAACACAAGTTGATCTGTTTTTTGGAAATACATTTAGGTATTTAACGTTTTTTCTCAATCTCCTGGTCATTAAGAAGATAAAAAAGATTTAGCTTGATTTTGTGTGTCTATGCAAATTTTAGACATTATTTTTGATGTGAACTGTTTTGTTAATATTCTGAATGACAATAAAAAGCACCCTTTATTCACAAGTTCAGTGAGTCATAACAAGAATTGACTTAGGTCAGTCTTTCTCAAACTGTGGTCCACGAGGTACTGCATGTAAACTGTGACGTCAGCTCAAAGTGTGACGCTACAGTTAGCTTACCAAAGGATTGTGTTATAAATAATAAAGGAAAACTGATTTAAAACTGAGTCACTCAAAATAAAAATAAAAAACTGCAGATACCGGTGGAAATAAAACAACTCCAGGAATATTACATGATCAGAGGAAGCTATGTGGCAGCTGAGTGTTGATGTGTTGTTCACTAGTGATTGGATTCCTTTGAACAGCTCTATGAGTGAACGGTAGGACTCGTCTCAGTTAGAAAGAACTGTTCTTTGTTTTGTATGACTTTGTTTGCTTATGATGCTCTGCTTTCACATCAACAGCTATTATTTTTATTTAATTAAAAATGATTAAATTAATTAAATACTATAAAGAAATTCAACTGATAGAAATTGAGGAATTATTTTTATATTTAATGGTGCAGAAAATAATTTCTGCACCATTAAGTCTATTTTTTATTTAATTGTACTTCTAAATCACAAACAGCCCTAAATGTTATTAATATATGCAACACTTGGTAGTAAATATATTTTTTTATTTCCATGTTTGACATCATTGGAAAGCTTAGACTTCACACTTTCACAATCAATAACTCAAAATGCCCAAGTAGATGTGTTCATGGTTTTGTCATGGCCAGTCACCTTTACCAAACAGCACCACTCTTCTCATATGAACAAAAAAAAAAAAAAAAAGCAATGCGTGGATTAAAAGACTAATATTTTCATTTCAGGTTGCATCACATACTGTATTAAGATGCATTATCACAGGGACAATTTCAGGTGAGGTCGTCCATGACTGTCAAGTGATCCTCAGCCTGAAAAAGTTTGAGAAACTCTGACTTAGGTCAATGTTAATGTCTCATTTGTAATTGATGATTAAAGTGAAACTGTCTCCATGTCGTAATGGTACTGTCATGAAGTGGGTTTGCGGTGATGAGGAGAGAAGCAGGCTGAGCCCAGGTTGTAGTGAAAATGAGATTTAATGAAGGAAGCTCAAAACAGTCCAGGATGACAGGCAGCACAGCAGAGGTTAGCGTACAGTTAATTACCGGTAGCAACTGATAACTGAATAGGAGAGCTAAGCTTAGCCAGGACTATCCAGTTCAACTGGCCAGCACACAACAGACAACACTGACATTAGACAGGACCCGACAAGAGACAAAGACAACAGGTGGGTTTAAATACACTGGGAGGGTGATCAAGGAATGAGACACACCTGGGATCAATCAACAGGGGAAGGCAGAGACAGAGACTCACTGGACAGAAACTGAACACAGAAAAACCTTACATGACAGGTACAATATGAGTTAGTCTGAATAAATTAAGCTCCTCTGCCTTCTCCTTGTGCTAACGCAAAGAAGTCCATTAAAAGAGTCAACTTTGCAATAAAAGTGTATTTACCAAATGACTCTTCATGATAACAGTCAGACTCGTCAAATAAAGTGTTACCATATATATATATATATATATATATATATATATATATGCACACACACAGACAGTGTCTATATACACAGTGTCTACATACTGTGTCCATCTCTCTCTATATATATATTTGATAAAAGTTACATACTGCACCTTCAAACCCATTTAGAGAGTAAAAATTTGATTGAATCTGTTCTGACATCATTTGTCTTCAACCTCACTGGCAGTACAGAAAATAAGTATTGAACATTAAATCATTTTATTCTGTAAATACATTTGTAGGTGGGGAGTTACAGCACCAACTAGGACTCCCTGGAGCCACCAGTGGATTAACTCTGAACGTCACCTAAGGTTGTATTCTGACTTCATATCCAATTATACTGTATCCCTTAAGAAATTCGCCATTTTTATGGCGAATTATCTCAAAGAAATTCTTGTCCTCTTTATGATATCAAATGGACTATTGAATGGACTTTGTCTTCGAAATGTTTCATTACAAACAAACCCTGTGTGCTTTTGACTTTTCCATTGTTGTTACTCAGCAAAACACAATTAACATAAACAGTGGCTGTAGTTCACTTATTCTGGAGAATCCCCTTCACAGTGTCTTTCAGGAAGAATTAAATTCAGTCTCATATTCTTAGTAATTTCCCCCCCCCTTTATATACAAAAGTACCTGTGGGTTTCCACATTGTCTCCTCTGAAATTAATAACTTTATGTAATTAATCTATTATTAATTCTAGTTCAGTTTTAAATTCATGACTGCAGGTTTTCTACTACGAAACTTCCATTTGAACTCTATTTGAATTACTGAAAATGCAGAAACCATATTTACATCCTCATTCAAAAAAACTGAAGAGTGTTGATGCCTTAAAATTATTTAACTGCGTTACTTTCCTTATTGTCTTATCTATTTTATGTGCACACAAAACAGATAAGACAATGAATTGCATGTATTCTTCTCTTACATGTCATTTTTCTGTTTTTACTCCTCTTGACATTATTTATTCCCCATTTTCACTTTGTGTTGCTACAATAAAGAGAGAGGAAAAACACACACTGACAAGTGCTGTGAAAGGTTTTCCCTAAAGTTGTTCAGTAAACTTTTAAAAGTACTTTCAACAAAATATTGTCTCAGCCTTAAGTTTAATAGTATTTCTGTTAATAAAAAGTGAAACACTGAAAACATAGATTACATGTCATTCTCTATTTAATTGGCTGGAGCTCTAGTATATTAGTGCCTCTGTATACAGAGCTAAGAAGTCATTCATAAAAGGAGAGAAAGTAGAATTGACGTTTGCATGGTCAGGAATTTGTTGAAATTAAATGAAATCCCCCTGAGATATTAATATATAAAATTGTAAATACTTCTTACCAGCAGCCATTTCCACTGTCTTGTTGCAGGCAGTTGATTTGTGATGATGTGTGGATGTTGACTTCTTGCTTGTAAATAGTTTTCCTTTTTATGTTCTTGGTATTTTACAGTCAGTTCTTGACTCCTCCCTTTGAATCTGTCTGCTAATGCAGTTACTGCACCTTGCAGGAAGTGTCTTGGTTAGGTCTGTCGCAATAACCAATCAGTTGATAAATTAAAACAAGCTACATTTTCATTTGCATTACTTATTGTTCTTTCTCACTACAAACAATTTGATGACATATTGGTCTCAACCAGCCCTTTTTTGAAGGGAAATTTAGTTTAAAATCAAGAATGCTGATGCTAATTTTATGACATATTTTTAAACTATGGCTAAAACCTGAAATGTTATATAATATATTATCAGTGTAAACTAAAAATCTCTAAGAGAATAAGAAAAAAGAAACAAAAAATAATTTTGTTCTGGCTATCCTGGTTAAAAGCAGTGTTTGAACTGCTTGAATGAATTTGTTTGAATCTGTTTTGCAAAAGAGTGAAGATGATGTGTCAAACCAATAAGAAATGATCAATATATTTGCATGACATGTAATGAAGAGATCTTCATTACTGGAACTTCTTTACTTAAGTCACTGTGTAGCACGTTAAGAGCACTTCTTGCACTTTATAGACAAACACTTTATTTAGCGCTGCATTTTAAGCATTGATTTGCACATCAATAACAATTTGCACACGAGAAGTTTTAACTGTATTTATTGAGTATTTTAGTGACTAGCATGTAGCCTTTTGTTCTGGGTTCTGCACAGCTGCTCCTCATTGAGAAATGAGGTGGTTGTCTGAGAAGGGAGGATAATTGTTACTCAGAGCAATGAGCTACTGGGGGGTAAAACTGAGCAAATGTTTGTGCATATCCTGTTAAGTGTGGAGGTGCTAAGCTGGAATGACTCACCTGTCTTGTCTATGTCTTCTCCAGGGTGTTTGGACAAACACTGCCCCGGGGGTTCAGACACCATTTATAGGTTCTGGGAGAGGGCATGGAAAAGTGTGTGTGGGGGGTGAGGGGAGCAGGGGATTGTTTGTGGGTTTTTGTGGTGTTTCATAATGGTGCTTACGATGTAATGATAAAACATAAAAATATTTATAAAAAGTAAGTAGAAATGACAGGGCTGCACAGTGGCGCAGTTGGTAGAGCTGTTGCCTGCAGCAAGAAGGTTCTGGGTTCAATTCCCAGCCC